CTGAGAATTTGAGACAGGTTCTCCTTCTTCTCCCTCCTGAGTGCACCTGTATCTCTGCAACACTTTCTAGCCACTCCGGCACCCCACTCCAGTAAATCATAATAAACACTTTTGCCATGCTCCCCCGCTGTTTTCCCCCAGTGCATTTACCCACTTTCTCCCTGTCTCCAAAAGTAAACCAGGAGACAGACACATCACATGGCCAATAGGAATAAAGAGAGTGATGACATACACATTTCTTTGGAGCCAAGGGTAGTAGAGAACAGATGGGTGAGCAGCCTCTTCTGCAGCCACTCTTTCCATGGGACTCTATGGTGTTTCCATGCCAGCAATGGTAAAATGGAGATTCTGGGTCATGATGACTGGAGAAGCTACACTGAAGCATGGAAACCTTAGAACAGAACTCTGATTTTCTTTGTGGTTTCAGGAAACCAAAGGTACCATGCAGCAATGTCATGAGTGGGTCCAGACAACACAACAAACCAACAAGGGTAGGAAATCACCATGCTTTCTCAGGACATGCGAACTTAGCTGTTGAATTTGGTCTCAGATTAAAATAATGTCCATGTTCCATCATTTCTAGGCAAAGGTGGACAACTCTGGAGGGCAGGGAGGCCACAGTGGCCACTGGGGAACCCTGTAGTGGCCATGCCTAGCCTTGTCACCACTGGCAAAAGTGCCAGCAATAGCCACACTGCCAGGGACCCAGAGATTCTGCTGGGAAAGAAGACTTGTGGGAATGTGTGTCTTGTTTCCCCACAGATTTGGGCCCCTACAGCCTGCCAAACAGGCTTTTCTCAGAGTATAGCGCACCTCATTCTGTGGAAAAACAAGGAATGCAATCTCGGTGCATTTGGTTTCTCAGCAGAATTGCTGGGGTGCAGGGGCAGGGGGTGCATGGCGGCAGTGACGGACTGTGGCAGCAGCAGGGTTTGGGTGGGGGCTGGAGAAACAGCCAAATTGAACTCTGTGTGACCCTCCGGCCATGTGTTGCCCACCCCTGCTTAATGGCTTTAGAGCAGTCTCAAGATGGAGGGCTTGGTGGGTGGATGAATGAAATGATGGATGGTTGGATGGATGAATGGATGCATCCATACAATACTGAGCAGAAGCATGGCTCTTCCCCTTCAAACATTCATTCTTCCAGGAAGCGACATATCCGACTCATATTTATGTAACTTCCATCCAACTTTCTAGGAGCCAAAGAAGGATTGTATGAGGAAATGACCCAACCTTGCAAGTGGAAGCAGCTGGTTTCCAAAATCTTTTTAGACATCTGCCCCATGCATAGTGGGGGAGAGAGTGGAAGAGAGACGTATACGTTGGGTGCCACATTTGGAGATCAAAGAAAGGAAACGTTATGAAATGAAAGCCGTAACAAAATCCTGAACCCTTGCTTACTTTTTGTTCCTCTCAAGCTTTCTCGTTATCCTGGGTAAATGTAAATGCAAATGCAGATGAGAGACCACAGAATGTTTGGAGGTTTCCTGCAAATGAAATTCTAATGTTGAGAATGTTTACCTGAACTTGTGCAGATTTTCCGATAGTAAAGCAGATGTTCTTGTAGAATTCTAATAGCTCATCCTGTTGATAGATGGATAGTTTATATTGCAAAGAAAAACATCCTTATTAGAGTTTGTTGTGTCTGCTTTTGATTCTAGCCAAAAACAGAAACACTGTTATTATGCTTCTTCGTTCTACACTTTTATTAATAATAATATTAACACATACCGAAATGAATAACACTGTAGGTATATTTCACATAATTATATGAAACCACAAAATCTATTATTTATCATTTACTTACAAGGTAATTAAACACCTATACAGATTTGTCTGGGTATTTCAGTTTAGTCCTAAGAACAGGACCACTGAAATTAATGAGGCTTGAGTTAATCATGACTAATAGGTTTACTTAAAATCCGATTAAGCTCTGAATCCATCACATTAATTTCAGCTTCATACTTGAACTTCCATTAAACATCAAAATGACACCTCTCTGTAGGAACTTTCTGCTGAGTCCCATCCCTTTAGCCTACTGACTTACTGATTTTTAATAATTAACTGAGAGGCTTTATTTATTAGGGCTTGTAAATATCTTTGCATGTTTCCAGTTTATTTGCAGTTTTGCCTTTGTTCATAAATTTAAGATCATTGGCCAGTGTGATTTTAACAGGCATGAATAGAAGAGTTTTGCTAATCTACATGTAGAAACAGCATGGTATAGTGGTTAGATTATTGGGGAAATACACAAATTTCCAGCTGACCATGAAGTCCATTAAGTCTCCTCATGCTAGTCAATATTTCTCAGCTTATCTCACTGTACAAGAATACTGTGACATTAAAAGTAGAGAGGAAAGACTATGTATACCACCCTGGCCGCCTTGGAAGAATGGTAAGATATAAATGCAATGTATAAACAAGATGCATAGGTGCCCTTTGATTAAACACTGCAAAAAAGTAACCTTGATGACCTGTTAATCTTGTATCAGGATTCATTTTGTGAGGTGTTTTACCAGCCTACTAGAGCTCATGTCCCCATCAGTAAAACATCACGAAAAGAACCTCTGTAGAACCACCTGCATTTTTGCTGGAAGTAAAAAAGGGATATGAGCATATTAAGACTGCGTATTTGTGGTTGTGTTACATGTGAGCTCAGGTAAGGCATAAAGGGGAAATGCAAATAGACTGAAGACATGGAAATTTGAAACAAACCACAGATGCTCCAGTTCTGGTATTAATTACAGGATTAATTAATTTGCCTGGCTTAAACAGAATTCAGAAAAAGTGAAGCACAGGACAAAAAGAAACAAAATCAATTACATCTCTCTTCTGTTTAAAAACAAGATGCAGCCTGCCTCCAACCTGTTGCCCTCCAGATGTTTTGAAGTACAATTCCCATCATCCCCACCAGCTCACTAGGGATGATGGTGGTTGCAGCAAAATATCTAGAAGGCACCAGGTTGGGGAAGACTGATCAAGAGCCTACAGTTCATACGGGACAAGCAAAGAGACATTGAGAAGCAACAAGTTCTGCCAATGGAATGTAGAACAGCACTGTAGGAGAGATGCCTGCATTTTTAATTGAACTGTCTGAATGTGAAATGAGCCATAATTCAAGCAAGAGGGGCTGCAGGTCATTGTAGTGCCCCAAATTACACTGCATATAGTTGCCTGGTCCAGCCCAGCCAAGGTACCTCACTTCAGATCCAGAAATTTGTAGGAAGAAATGAAACCCCCCGTTTCAAAGATGATTTACCATTTATCGAATGCGATGATGAAACATTAATGCAGCATAGAAACAAGCAAGAGCAAGCTTACACCCCCTTTTCCTGGGCCATATTGGTTCCCTTAATGGGGACATTCCATGTGCCTCTTAAATTGTCTGGGTGAGCAATGTTTCTGTTCCTCTCCCCAGCACAAAAGACAGCACCTCTCGCCATGGATTTTATCAAGTTCTTCTCTTCCTGCTTCTTACCATCACTGCACATAGGTGCTAACTGCCCACCAAACAAAGCTGCTTCAGTCAGACAAACAGTATCATTTCCACAGCAAAAGCAGTTCTTATCTACAGAATGATTAGGGAGGGCAGATCAACAAGAAACTCTTTCTGGAGCCCTTTCAAACAAGCTAAGGGCCATACACCTTGGCATGGCTTCAAGAAACTATACTGGCTTTGGAATACTGGGAAAGTATATACTGCCTGTTGAACCTTGATATTATTTTGGTAGAGTCCATCCAACAGACACAGTGTGAAGCCAGGTAGCATTTAAAGTTGATTGGTAGGGACCTCCTATACTTTGAGCACCCAATGTGCTATAACAATTAAAAAAATTAAGAAATCTTTCTTAATGGCCAGTGGGAGCCTCTAGGACTGGCTGCAAGGGATTGTAGTACACTAACAGAAACTACATCAATAGTTGCCTAATTTATGGGGTTGCTGTTGTAAATGTTCTTGGGCAATTTATATGAAATATGATTAAATATTCTACTACAGCCGTGGGCAGAAGATAGACTGGCATCTGTTTGAGTGATTTGCAATAGATTTCTGACTCCTGGTGAGAACCAGACCATACTTGGTTCTGGAGGAATCACTGTCAAACCCGCAGAGTCAGAAGCAGCAGATGTAGCACAATCACCTCCATAGTGAGGCATCAAAAGTAGCATCCAACATTCTGACCCACAAGCCGCAGGAACCACCCTGAAGGTGGAGATAACTCCATTTGGTTGGGAAGGGAAGAGATGGGTTAGGTCTGGAACCAACCCTGTGGCTTGAGTCATACTTTCCTAAAACTTGGTAGTCCAACTTTGCTGGTGTCTTTTGTTAATGATTTCTGCAAAATTTCTTCTGGCTAGCAGTAAAACAAAAAGTAGGTAGAAGCCTCTTGTTCTAATGTGTTTGGAAGGAAGGGATGGGGCAGGGCAAGTCTGGCTTTCAACAGTAAGAATGAACAAAAATATCGTGAAAGTGACAAGTCACAGAATGTTCAACCAATTTACCTTGCTTGGAATTACCTCCGAGATTTTGTTTTGCATGTAGTTTTCCAAAACAAAATCGTTATAATTCAATCACTTTAGTGTAATGTTCCCAATTCTAGATACAGTTGTTTGCTTTTTGTTGTTATTTTGTAGAATCCGAATGTGACCTGTTAGATTTGCTTTTCAGAAATATACCTGGATTTTAAATTTTGTGAAAAACCTTCATTAGTGCTTGAGTTGTGATCTGCAGCCCATGAGGACTTTGCAACAGGGTGAACTTGAGCATGGAATCCGCTCAAAGCAATTTCTCATCAACCCAGTCTAGTTGTGTCCATTTATTTGATTTGCCATAAGCATTTTTTTTTTGCTAAAGGTGTTGGGTTTATAATGCATTCTATTCTACTATAGAGTCATCCAATAAAGAGCAGTCTATCCAAAGAAGATGCCCCAAGATTAATTTAAATCAAGTGAGCTATTATGCAACTGATTTCCCCTAAACTTGTTTGTGTTTGTTCCCATAGCTCTCGTTGTGCGTTTTCTGACCAAGCGGTTCATATGGGAGTATGACCCTACTCTTGGTAAGTTGTTCTTTTGCCTGTCAAGATGGAATGCCCCGGAGCACGAATCCCCAGTGCAGTGCTTGTGAGCGCCATACTGCCAGACGACACCTCCATTGGTGCTCAGCAGGGGGTCTCCAACATGGATTCCAAGGGCACTCAGAACAAATCTAGATTTTCCATTGGTTTCTTGTACTTTAAGCCCATGGATTAATATGAAAATGTACAGCTTGCTGGCAATTAAAAATAGGCTTCAACGAAAGTAGACCAACTATCCAAACAAGTATCTAGTTGAACTTCTTTCCTTGATGCCGCCTGTTCATACATCAGAAGCACTGTAAGGTTCTCAATCCACTGCATTAGGGGAGGGGAGTATTTTTCCTTCCCAGGTTGTCATATCACTCTTTTAGCTATCAAAAGGACGTGGAAAATCCATTCCTCCTTCCACCTATTAATTTTCATGAAGCAGGTAAATTTGAAAGAGCATGTGCATCAGCAAATATTAAAGACTGTTCCAGGACACTGTATATGTATCTAGTAATCTCCTCCCCTAAGGAAGCAAGTAACACTGCCAAGCAGCTGTTTAAAGGAAGCATTTTCTGCATTGCACCACCAGCAATTAGCTGAATCAGACAACCCCTATTAAAGAGACATTTGTGTGGCCACTTGATAAAAAATAAACATTTTTGCTGAGTAGGATGTAGCCTAAAATCCTTAAATATGACAGGTAGGCACCAAAGTGCTGGTATACTATTATTATTTATTTCATTTGTCGTGGTGCTTTTAGCCATTCCTCAAATTCCCATATGTGCCCACGAGTCTGAAAAATATGGGGACTCCTCCTGCAGAGCATGTTAGACAGGTAATTTAGGGCACAATGTTCAACCAGTGCACGTTGAACCAGAAAAAAGTCCTGCAATGGCTGACATTCCCCAGCCAGGCATGGTGGAGGGTTGGGAAGTTTTTTTCCTATCTCAGTATGCCTAGCACTGCACTGTTAGTGCTCCAAAAGTAGGAACTGGCACTTGGCATTGGACATCAATTCTACATCATGGGTTTGTATCTTTAAATAAATAATAAGATTTTCTTGTGGGGAAAACAAAGGACACAACTCATTCTAAATCAGTTCCACAGTCAGGAGCAGTAGGCTTATTCATTGCTGGATGATGCCATGTTTGTTTCGCTTTGAACCATAAGGGAAGGATCCAGAAGAAATCGCTCTGTGGGGAGACAGACGCGCAGATGGCTACTCCCCCAGCCAAAGTCCCTTTCCAAGGGAACTGTGCAGGAGCAACTGGGTGCTTGCGGTGGGTCACGCAGCCAGCCTACCTGCAGGAACAATCTAGAAAGCCTGTCATAGTGAAGTCAAGGTTAGCTGGCGGGCCAACCTGAGGAAGACACATCTGGCAGAAGCCTGAGCAGCTGGGGTGAGATGGGCAAGTGACTAAGGCAACTGAAGCCCTATGGAGGATGTGGGGAGGGCAAAGTCTGCAGGAAGGGGCAGGCATTATTCGTGGCAGGAGTGCTGATCGCCCTGAAGTGGCACAGTGCCTTGTTCCAGCCATGCTCGTTCCTTCTTATGTGGCCAGAGACAAAATAAACCAAACGAATAAACTCATTTATGAAAATGGGTTTCATTTCCACATCTAGGCAGCACAGCTTTTAAAACAGTTTTAAAGAGAGTGTTGGAACGTTTCAGAAGTGTAAAATTAAAAAGGACCATTGCCATCATTATCCTTCACAAATCTTTCCAAAACTTTGCAATCCGCTGAAAAATTGTCTACATATGGAATGGTGGATTGGAGTTGTTCAGCCCTGTGTGAGCGTGTGTTCCTGTGCATGAAATGTGCACATATTTAGATAATGGAATTGTTGAAGATTCAGCTCTTGTTGACACAGAATTCGAGCTGGTTTGGCACATGATTTTGCTTGTTTTTTGGTTTTTTATTTTGAGCAAAGCAGAATATTTCCCTGCAAGGGTCACCACTCTAGCAGTGCCTTAAGTTAGCTGTAATGAGAACCACCCTCAGGACAGCGAAGCCGTGAAGTATTAAAGCAGTCTTCCGTGCCAAGACGCTGGACAATACTTTGATCTGATGCAGCTCCCAGCAAGGCAATTATACTTGAATTTGGAGAATGATGCAAAATCCGTTCATGAAGCGTTCCCAGTGGAAGGGGAAACCTTGGCTTTGTGAAAACTCCCATCTTTTGTGATGATTCAGATTTTCCAAGCTGTTCTAAAACCCAAATGAACTGGCCCTCTGGCTGTGGTCTGCCTCAAAATGAATAGTGCTACAGAACTTTGCAGTTAGAATTTATCTGATGCTTTTTCTGGCAGGTCCTTTTGACTTTTGCATATGGTGTTGAAGTCCCTGCTCTTTGGACCAACCATGATTTAACTCATCTATGGATGGCTGCCGAATTCCCTACAAATAAGCCCACATTAAAACCACTAAAAAGTATCTTACAAACAAAGCTATTCATTTTCAATGTATATTTAAAGTGCTCTCCTCCCTCCTTTCACTTTTTAAATCCTCCCGGGTGATACTTGGTTTGTTACGATGGCAGCAATAGCACATTGTGGAAAGCAATGGGATGCACAGAATCAGCATGATTTGGGGTCTGTGACAACTGTTTGGGCTCCAATCAACACAGTTGACTTTATATATTGTATTTCTTTTTAAACCCACTGGAGAGAATAGGTAGGATGACTTTTTAAAAGAAGGGGATGGATTTCTAAAGTTATTTACACTAGTGTGTAAATAGGGGGCAAATGTGAAGTTACTTACCAGTGATTGTTTGCTCAAGGAAATTTTGTGAATATTTTGCCGAGCATAATCAGCCAAATCATTGTCATTTACACTACTGTGTAAATAAGGAGCAAATGTGGAGTTACTTGCCAGTGATTGTATGTGAAGGAAATTTTGTGAGTGTTTTGCAGTAACATGGGGAAGCTGCTTTATACTTAGTTAGATTAGATTATTGGTCTGCTTCAGTCTTGTCAGCACTCACCAGCACATGCTTCCCGGGGCTTGAGAGATGCCCTTCCCAGCCCTGCCTGGAGGTGTCACCACGGCCTGAATCTGGGACATCCCTGCATGCAAGGCATGTTCTGCATCACTGAGTTACAGCATCGACTAGTGAAATCATGCTCCATAACGGTTGTGGAGTTTATCTGTGCCACTGTGGCAAGGTTCTGAGTCAGCTTTGTTGATAGACCAATCATTGGCCTAGTGAAGCTTTGAATGTTCAAGCGGGCATTTTTAAAAGGGACTTCGCATTGCTGGAGAAAAGGGCTGGAGAGTTCAGTCGATACAAAGGAGAAGCTACAACTTCAGGGGCCTTTTTAGTTTAGAAGTAGAGGGGATATGGTTGAAGTATCTGACATGCATAGTGCAGAGGAGGAGGAAAGATTTTTCATTCAGTGTAGCTGAGTGGTGGGCGTTTCAGAACAAGCAAAGTGCATGGTGCCAAACTGATTTTCTTGTTGCAAACTTGCAGGGACCTGGATGGCTTTACAAAGGGTTTAGACAGATCAGTGCAGGATAAGCCTCTCAACAGTTACTGCTCATGATGCCTGTATATGTCTGAGGGCCCGTGTGGTGTTGTGGTTAAGATCACGGGACTGGGACTCAGTTGATTTGGGTTCTAATTCCCACTCAGCCGTAGAGCCAGCTGGGTGACTTTGGGCCAGTCACAGACTCTCAGCCCAACCTGCCTCACAGGGTTGTTGTTGGGGGGATAAGATGAAGAGCAGATGGAGGAGAAATATGTAAGCTGCCCTGAATTCAGTGTAGGGAAAAAGTGGGATATAAATCTAACAAACAAAAAAATAACCTCTAGCTTCTGAGGAAGCAGCTGGGTTTATCAGCATGATAACCTACACTAAAACATTGTGTATGAGTTGTCAAGGAACTATGGGTTGCTGTTGAAATGTGGATTACATGTTGTCTGGATGCAGCTGCACTAACAATCCATGGTTTGCCACTCACAAAGAGAACCCATGGTTTGGTGTGTACAATACTGTGGGTTGGACAATATGGTTTATATCTTAGCTGAGTTCACATGACATGGTAGCCCATGGTTCAGCCATGATCCACGGTTCATGTTGCCTGAACCCAGGATGTCACTCAGCATCAGCTGTTGAGACACACAAGAGGGAGAACATTATTGCACTTATGTCCCATTTATGGGCCTCCCAGAAGCCAGGATGAAAGTCGACCTTTGATCTTAGCCAGCAGGGTTCTCCTTATGTGTGTCTTTCACTTAGGAAGAGCCACAGTAATATATTACTTGAATAACAGCGGTGGAAGAGAGGTGTCTTCCTTCTTTTTTGTCAATATGGTATGAACAGGGGCTGCAGCAAAGCTCCGTGGAACCCACTCCTCTAGCCTTTGTGGACTTTTCCTCATGCTTGACCCTGTCCTAGATGTCAAGCTGAGCCAAGAAGTCTACAAATGGAACAAAGACGGTGCACCAGCACAAAGGTTGCTGTCTGAGACAAGGAAGAGCAGTGGTTGTGCAGGGCTCAGTTCCTGGCAAGCAGCACACAAACACTGGACACACTTGCCGGGAGCTCAGATCTGTGTCTGTGGCAAAGCAGCCCAGTGTCGAGGGAGCCGAGCTGAGCCCAGGGAATCTGACAGATTCCCACTCGCAAATGGATTCTCCGCACATCTCTAGCGTAGACCATCCATGCCTATTTCAGAGGGTAGGGAATGACATCTTGGGTGAATTTAGGAATTGCCGGAAAACTGGAAATGCATCATCCCAACAGAGGGCAGCGATTTGCATAGCATTTCTATGTGTTATTTTATATGTATAGGTGTAAATTTGGAAATAATTGTTATAAATTAACTAGAAATACAGCACATCTCACCATGGTGTAGAAAGCTGTATCCAGGTGACTGCTCTGCCTACCTGTTCAGTCTGCTGCTATATGTGGATAAGCAGTAGTTCTTAAGTTTTTTGTCTGTTCAAACTGGAATGCTACATGGCAGCCCTTTAAACAGAGGACTACC